CTGTTGGGGCTAAACTAGATGGCTGGGACTCATGAACAGCAGCTACCGCATCTCTTGCAGCTTCCTCTATTTTATTTGCTCATGAGTCCCAGCCATCTAGTTTAGCCCTGCGCTGCTACTCGTGGCGTGTGAGATACTCTTGGCGGTGGTGGTATAGTCGCTGGAAGAGGTCTGCAATTTACATGTGACTGGGGCCCTGTTAAGGTATGTTTTCAGCCTTGATAATTTAGGACCATTATTCGAAGGATTTTGCAGATGATATAGCACTCCTATCACATAAACATGTACATATACAAGAGAAAAGTAACAGACTACACAGCACAGCAGAAATGGTGGGACTGAGAATAAATACAAAGAAAACTAAGATCATGACAAACAGTCCAAACCATCAACCAGTGACCATAAGTAACCAATCACTTGAAAATGTAAAACATTTCACATATCTTGGCAGTGTGGTGTCCCTACTGGGAGGGACAGAGGAAGAAATACAGTCACGTCTGAACAAAGCTAGAGCTGCTTTTGGAAGGATGAGGCAAATCTGGAAATCCAACAATTACTGCAGAGGAACGAAACTCCAACTCTACAAGAGCATCATTTTGCAAGTTCTCCATGGAGCGGAATGCTGGAGAATGACCAAAAAGGATGCACACAAGCTGTCCACCTTTCACCACACATGTCTACGTAGAATTATCAAAATTTTCTCAAACACTAAACTACTTCAAGCCACAAACCAAGAAACTTTAGACAGTATGATTACCAAGAGAAGATGGAAACGGCTTGGCCACGTTATGAGAATGACTTCTGATATACCTGCCAAAACAGCTCTCACATGGACACCAGAGAGAAAGAGAAAACAGGGGCGCCCAAAAACAACATGGAGACAAACGATGGAAAGTGACCTGAGTGTGGCATCTTTGACATGGAAAACTGCACTGAAGACTGCACAGGACAGGAAAACATGGAAAGTCCTCTCTGAAGCTTCATGTGCCACTAGGCATAACGAGAACTGATGATGATGATGATTCGGAGGATAGCCTTAATATAATTTATTATTTATAGATATGAATGTTCTTTTTTACTCCTAAATTGAGCCTCAATACACTGAGTTACAAATTCTAAATAGTTTTTCATTCATTTTTTTTTTTTTTCTAAATGAACATTTATTAAGGGTTAAATTTGTCAGTTTACATTTGGTGCCCTGTGTACTTTGTACTGTTTTTGTTAAAAACACATGTTGCCATTTGTTCGTTTTGATGATATTGCGTGTATGTGAACAGTTACAATCATAATAATAGTATTATGATGATCTTGATGAAATTATGGTGATGGTTAAGATTTTTTAAAAAATTAAAATTATAATATAATGTCAAATTAGTATGCAATGGAAACATAGAGAAGAGCTAATAAAAATAAAAATAAAACATTTTTTTTTGTTAATTAGCAAAGTTTTATTAGTATTAGTAATAAAACTTTGCTAATATACAAAAACACAAAAAAAAAATCATTTAACAGGTTCCTTGAACATATGCAGAACTGTTTCAGAACATTAATTCAATTATTAATATTACTAAATCACTTAATTTGAGCCTTGGTGAAAAAATTAAACAAATTTCAGCATCAGTATCACTATCACTAATAAAATAAATCAAGAGGTGATGAATGAAAAGACGCTGCTAGCCTTAAGACAGTCTTTCATTTACTCAACTTAATAATTTACATTTTGCTCACCCTTTACTGTACTTACTGACCTGACTTACTGATGTCCCCAAATCACTGGCTAAATTACAAATGACACAACCACAGTAGTAGTAGTAGCACTGACTCACGACTAAGTCCGGTAACCAAATTGAGTGACACAACTGCAAACCAACTGACTGACATGACGAATGACGAGATGTTGACACAAAACAAAATTTCACTAAAAAGTAATTATTTACAAAATAACCTACTCGCTGATTAACGGGCAGAGTCTTGTTCTTCCTCTTTACTGATGGTGAACGAAGAATTTTGCGCAGCGGTCGTGGTTTATCCATGGTTAAGAAGTGTACCCCTAGCAGCTGCTATCCCATTCTCTAAGGAAGTCGGACTTTCTCCACGCCAACACAATCTTCTGCAGCTTTGAAATTTCCCTTCGTCCCAGGCGCATTTCCCAAACGCCCCATGTAAACCTTGCGCTCATTGGCTGAGTTAGTTCTATATTTAAAATGTGGATTCTCCTGCTGTAAGGGTAAGCTAAATGTCGGAATAAATCGAATTAAAATAGTGAATGTTGTTGAATGTTGAATTAAGAATCAACATCACAGCACTCGAAACACTCCTATAAGCGCTCCGTCAAAATTTTCAGCAGTAAGCAAAAAGTTTCAATTCCGATGGTACCAGTAACTATCTGATTCTACATCTTGAGTGTTGAGCATCGGTAAGATATCAAATACAAAATTTAAAAAAAGGCCTTGCATATGTAACTCCCCCCCCCTACAACCCCCCTCCCACCAACCCCGTCTTGACTGCAGGTTACGTTGTAACCATTGGAGGTTCCAACATAATCTTACGGTTTAATGGGGGTTTCTGGAATTTGAACCTGGTTGTGGCACTTTGCGTTACCAGGTGTTAATCGCTCAGTGTACGGTCCTAGTGGGGTTTAACGTCATTCACCCAGCTGTATAAGGGTTGTTGGCGGGAACGAGGGAGTGGTGTTGATAGTTGCATATGCGTGAGGTTTTAAATAGTATTGTAGTGGTACCGGGGTGCCCCAGGGCTTCAAATGGTTAATTTTGTTTGGCAACATGTGCCGTTTGTGTTTCTGCAGCTTGACTAATTCAACTCTTCAATATTTCCCACTGATCATTAACATCTTGAAAAGATCACAACCAGTCATTCCCTTGTTGAATGCAGTTTTTCGTTATTTTGAAGCCCCACCCTGGCTCTTGCCAGGGTCCGCAATATATCCCGGCCATAAATATGGCCTAATGGCTGAACGCAGTTTCAGGGGCTCTCCACGGGTGGTCCTCATCCACACTGTAGCACTTTGTGGCATCGGGTGTTTATCGCTTGTGTGATGTTCTAATGGGGTAAAATGTACTACTACTACCAACATCTTGAAATATAATATCTTCTTCTTCTTCTTCTTCTTCTTCTTCTTCTTCTTCTTCTTCTTCTTCTTCTTCTTCTTCTTCTTCTTCTTCTTCTTCTTCTTCTTCTTCTTCTTCTTCTTCTTCCTCTTCTTCTTCTTCTTGTTTCGTTTGCTTGAAATATATTATTTACATCTGCAATGGTGTCTCTAGTATGAAGTTCACTGTCTTTTGTAATAAATAAAGTTTCTTTATCAGACAGTGTATCAAATCTATTTATATATAAAATTGTCGTTAATATCCTCATTCTTTAGCGTAGGTAGGTCTAATTGTATGTTTCTTGGTCTATGTTTAACTTTATATGTACTTTAAGGAGTTACAGTAAATAGGCACAAACAAGTTATTTTGTGCAGCTTTATCGAACTGCATCAAAGTCCGCAACGTTTTTCTAGTCATTCGTTATGATGTTTTATTAGGAACTGACTAGCTCTTGTCGGCACCTTTCTGTCTTTCCAGACGATAGTGTTTCCCTTGGCAATGATCCTTGGGCCCCTTGCTAGGTTTCTGCGGGCTAGATTTGGACCAGGGTAGTGTATGAATCATATGGTGATGGCGAATACCGCTAGAAAATTCCAGCTCGCCTTAAAAAATTTCTTTAACGTTAAGACCATTGCTGCCATCACAAGTCCTAGACAGGTTCTTCAGAAACGTTCAGCTTTAAACGTGTCTGCAACATGTTTTCTCTTTTGTCATTATTCTCTGCCTAATTTCCCCACTCCATGCAAAGCTATCCTATTTCACCCGTTTGTATGAATCCACCTCAATGCCTGTATCGTTCATGCTCTGTTTGCACACATCATGAAATAATTGTAGATGTCGACCACGACATCTTCTACCCATTTATAATCCATCATACAGGATGTCCTTATAGATGACCTGCAAGTGTGTCCTAGCCATTTGAGTTTTGAAAGATTGAGAAAACTGTTTCATAATGTGACTAGTTTTTTTTTTTTTTAGTTGTTAGGTATATTGTTTAACGGGTTAAACACAGCATGTAATAAATACAACATGAAGATCAATGTAAACAAAACCGAAACAATGCAGGTTAGTAGAACCCCTGCCCCACTACACATACAGCTGAATGGTTCTGCCCTGAATCAAGTTAGGAAGTTTAAATATCTAGGAAGAATGATCACAGAAGATGGTAGAATTGACAGAGAAATAGAAACACGATGTCAGAAGGCAAGTGCACTTATATACCAATTGTCACCATTATTAAGACATCCAAGCATAACCACGAGTGCAAAGAGACAGATTATTAATAGTATATTCATTCCAACATTAAGCTACCAGTGCCAAACATGGACACTATCTAAAGCCCATATACGCAAAATCACCACCTGCGAGATGAGGTGCCTGAGAAAAGCAGCCAACCTAACCATACGAGATCGAGTGAATAATGAAACTATCAGGCAAATTGTGGGAACGACACCATGTACTAGATTCATCGAGAAACAGCAGATCAAGTGGTTTGGCCATCTCGCTAGAATGCAGCAATATGAAATACCATCACAAGTACTACATAGCAAGAGGACGGCCGCGGAAAATTTAGATCAACAACATTACAGACACTCTACGCCTTAATGGCATGACAATAGCCAGTGGTAGCCAACGTGCACTGGATCGCAAATTGTTCCTCCCCACGTCACTTAACGGCATAGGTGGTTTATGATGATGATGATGATGAGGTATATTGTTTGTTTATGCATTTAGCCTAACGGTGAAGGGAGTGTACTCTACTCTCATTTTACAAATCCAGTCATTAGTTTTAGAATTTGTGTACTAGAAGTCTATAAGCAGTGAACTGCGGGTGACTGCGTTGACCAAACGTTATAATTATATAATTTTGTTACACCACAATTGCTAGGTATAATGACATTTCAATTGAGTCGTTATTACGACGGATTTGTAAATGATAGTTCTTCCGACGACGGAGGAGATACGAGGTTAGTGAACTTAGTGGATGGCAATAAGTTTTAATGTATTATTTATTATATTTTAATTCATTATTATTTAAATTGTAATATTTATAACCAACAAACAAGAGTTGTGTCGTGTGCTGCTAGTAACTGAAACATAAAATTCTTCTTCTCAGCGCTCACCAGCTGTAAACTGGCAGAAAGTTGAGGTTGTCCATTTCTTGGTTTTGTTTCCAGAACTCAAGTTTCGCGTTCATTCATACATATCCGTTTTAGGTGCTGTTCACGTTTCCAGACCCATGATCATGATTAGAGTAACTTCTTTTGCCATGCATGCCTCCTTATGACGCTGGACCTCTCCTATGTTGTGGGGGAGTCGTGTTTTCCTTATTGTGAACGATGTAACCATTGCTTCTTTTCTCGTTCTCAGCGGTTCTCTCACCGCTCGGTTGCATGATTATTTTCACGTTCTGCTACCTGCGCAGTGGTTGGGCAGTATGGATTGAAAACAATATTATTTTTCTATTCCTGCGCTCCTTTGTTTCTCTTAGGGGGAAGCCTCTGCCAGCTAACGTAGAAATACACAAACTTCCCAGTTTGAGTTTTGATTAATTTGATAGCCAAGAATCGTTGTGCCTGTGGTGCTTCCCTCTGAAGTACTTCTTACTTGTACACAGGCACCTGTGACGCCTCAAATATACTCACAACAACACAACCTCCCACAAACATTACATACACCAAGCAAACACCAGACCAAGCCATATCATAACACTTCTGCAACATAGGAGAGGTCCAGCGACTTAAGGAGGCATGCATGGCAAGGGAAGTTACTCTAATCCTGGGCCTGAAAACATAACAGGTCACCATTTAATTTATAGATCTTACTTATTTGAATGCAGACTGTTGGTTCCTCGCCTCTCAGGCATTTGTTCTCTAAATTCGAAGGAAACTATCCTAATTAGTCGCTGTGTACAACATGCTAATTAATATTAGGGCAGCATTGGGTTTATCCCCCTGCCCAGCCCTTTAAAAAAATCAAATAAGGCCCTGGAACCCACACATAGAATTAGGTCAAATCCTTATCTTATTTAATGAAGTTGAAGCTCAAAGACACTAGATCACACCAAAAAACTTTCCTTTGTGCAATCCACAAATGGAAAAAAAAGTGTATTATGACAGTTGATATTGACCATACTTTCTTGCATTATATACTGAAGTTTAATGTTAATTTGTTTTGGTAAAAATAGTTACTAGCAGTGTTATCCCTATTTTTATCCTTTTTTTCATATTGTTAAATATTAGTAATAATGGATTCATGAATAAAATACTAACATTTTAGTAACTTACTTTTCCTGTTACATTGGAGGTAGTCAGAGAGAGAGAGAGAAAGTAGGGGGGGGGGGGGCAAAGAAGAATCTAGAATGACAACACCAAGAAATGGACAGGATAAAATTATTGGTTCTCCTTAAAACTATGGCCACTTATTATGGAATACCCCGGAGTTCAGTCTCCTGGCCGCATTGCAATTACGGTGTGGACAAGAGGGAACGACACAAATGATGTAATTACTGTGTGTTTGCGATAGATGCACTGCTGTCATAATAGGGTTAGGGGTAGGGTTAAGAGTGGCCGTAGTTTTAAGGAGTACAAATACCCTAACCCTATTATGACAGCAGTGCATCTATCGCCAACACACAGTAATTACCTCATCGGTTCATGCTGTCTATCGCCAACACACAGTAAGTACGTCATTTGTGTCGTTCCCTCTTGTCCACTCCATAATTGCAATGCGGACAGGGACTGAACTCCAGCGTACTCCATAATAAGTGGCCGTAGTTTTAAGGAGAACCAAATTATTATATACTTGTTCCACAGTGAACTACAGAGAAAGATAGAAGGGTTTGTGTGCTAGTGCTTCCATTAATACACCTCCATGACTAAGGGGTCAATTGTTACGTTATGTTAAAACTGCAACATATTTCTCTTCCAGTTCAGAAGATGAGATTGATATAATTCTTCATGGCACACCTGAACAACGCAGAAAGCTTCAGCTTCATCATAGAAAACGGAGTCAAGAGCAGAGGCAGGACCCTCAGACAGGAAGTCACAATGCTAATTCTTCCAGTGAAGATGAGTTTGAAAAAGAAATGAACGCTGAGCTTAGTCAGCAAGTCAAAGTTCTGGAAGATTCTAGAGGTAAGAATAGGCAAATTATAATAATTAATTCACGTTAATTAGATTATGATTTTGAGAAAGCAACTTAAATATGCGGAATAATTCTCAGTTTGAAAACAAAAATTACAAATTAATTATCCTTTTTTGAAGTGTGGGGATTTAGATCATAAGCATATTGGAAAAACAAAACTGGGGCTTAGGTATTACATATAAGAAACCTGTGTTAACCCTTTTACTTTGGTGACCTAGAAAAATAAAGCTAATCCAGGAGAAAATCATTTAGAGAAAAAAAAGAAACATTTTACACAGGTGACAAGAAAAATGCTAACAATTCCATTTATGGACCACATGAACATTAATTTCCTTTCAGAGTAAAAAGAGTAACTTGTAAACTAGGGCTGTTCACCTGGCGGCCCACGATGCCTAGCAAGTGGCCTGCAGATCGTTGAAATTGTATTAATGACCCTTCTGGAGGCTCTGGCCTCTGACCCGTGGTGGTCCCCATTTTCAACATTTTGGCCCCTGGGTAAACTAAGTTGAAAAACCTGCTGTAAACACAAATGCAGCAGAGAATTAACTGACTTTTTTTTAAAACCATTAATAAAGAAATATGTATTGTGACTCATACTTCATACGCTAATCCGGTCGCCAGGTAACCTCTAGTGATAATGGGAAATTATAACATCATAACTCTGTTTAAAAAGCCATTTTTTCACAAGGCCCTGAAAGCTATTTTAAGTTAATACAATAAATTCCGGTCCTTCTAAATGTTTGCTAAGGCACAAATGATACCACTGCTGTTGACTGTATTTCTCCTGAACAAGCTTCTGTAGCCTGTCAGAAAAACAACATTAATTGGGATAGGACCCAGCTGAAAGTGTTGGTCTGTGGCTTCTCAGGGTTAAACTAACCTCTATATCAGGGCTGTTCAACTGAGCTTACTCAGGGGCCACAGTTTGGAAGATAGGGATCGTCACAGGCCGGTGTCCCGGACCACAGCCATAGAAAGATAATTAATACAGTACAGATGGCAATGATCCGAGGGCCCCGTGCAATGTTTCTGCGGGCCAGATTTGGACCATGGCTGACAGTTGAAAAGCTCTACTCTAGAGGCATTTGGTGGATTGGATACATACACTTTTTACTTTTCTTGTTCCTTTCCTCTCCCACTTGAGCTATGTCTCTGTCAAGGATACATTTCCTGAATATAAATTTTTAGGGAAGCAGTAGTTCTGAACAACACGTGGTGGTGGACAAGGGACCTTTGTCTTCTTCTTCTGCATTCTTCTCATTTTCTTCTTTCTTCACCAGCTATTAGCTTCGGCTGAAAGTTCTGGCTATTTATCCTTTTGGACTTTGGCTTTGTGTCAGGGACTACAAATAAGCCAGATCGCAGAATGGATGTGAATGCAGAACTCAAGTTCTGGGACAAGACCAAAGTCCAGAAGTGGACAAACAGCCGGAACTTTTCACTGGAGTTTACAGTTAGTGAACGCTAAGAAAAAGTAACAGTTACATGTAGAATTACTTGTGAATTCTGCTCTTGTGAAGTCATTTCTACTCTTGGAGATAGTGTTTAACATCTAAATCACTGACCAAAAGTTATGTCTAAATAAGCACTCAATGAACAAAGTGTTGACAGTTTGCTGTGTCTTACAGGAAAACGACAGCTAGAAGCAAATGGAGTACCATCAGTGTCAGCAACAGAGACAGCACTGGCTGTGAAGACAAATCAGCCGCCAGATGATGCTTCAAAGGATGAGTTTTATGATGAAATTTACTTTGATTCAGATGAAGAAGACGATGCAACAAATGCCAGATCTTCTGGTATGTTAATTTTTAAATATTGTTGGTTGCCTTTTCATCTCACCATGTTTCACAGCATGCTATTTCCCAAAAGGATATTATATCTTCTTCATTTGTCCGAGTGACATAAATGCGCATGTTTACAGCACATCTGTGATATTTGCACCTTTTGGCAGACACATCTGATTTCTTCAGCATTTGTTATTTGTGTTACCTTCCTGGTTAGTTTCATAGGACATTTGTAGCCTCACATGTGTGGTGACATCATCCAGGACCCATCCAGGGCAACCACTTGCAGACAGGTCAACCCTCAGAGTGGTGCTGGTGGTGGCTTAGCAAATAAACAATTTTTTTTCAAGTGCTCAACCAGTATTCCCGAAGGGGGATCTTTAGGTTATAATTGTGACTAGCTTTTGTGCACCACATAAAATGGCTTAGCATTGCTCGCCACCAAGTAGCTCTGAAAAGAGCTTACATTGCTGATGCGATCAGAGGAGACAGACCCAAAACTGCCTCGACCGGCACAGAAGATGTCTGCTGACGAGCCAATGGGCGACCCTGTCGCCAGTGACCTTCAAGAAAAGGCAGTGACAGAGCGTTGGCATTTCCCACCATCCAAGGAGGCTTCCATAGATGCAGAGATAGAACATGGCGCTCTAGTACTGGGCTCACCCAAAGAATTGACACGTCCTGCACATGACTGTTTAACCTCCCATCAGTATATTGAGCTTTTCACTCATTACAGGCTGTGCCCCTTCGGATTCCACAGGAAGTGGTCTGCAGACCTGAGACCTTATACAGATGGGCATCTGGCTTGTTGGACCTTTCTCCTTAACGTCCTTGACATATTTCTTATACAGATGGGCATCTGGCTTGTTAGACTTCTCTCCTTAACGTCCTTGACATATTTCTTATACAGATGGGCATCTGGCTTGTTAGACTTCTCTCCTTAACATCCTTGGCATCTTTCACATGGATGCCTAAACCTTATACAAATGGGCATCTGGCTTATTATACTTCTCTCCTTAACATCCTTGGCATCTTTCACATGGATGCCTAAACCTTATACAGATGGGCATCTGGCTTGTTAGACCTTTCTCCTTAACGTCCTTGACATATTTCTTATACAGATGGGCGTCTGGCTTCCTTATCATGTTAGAAAACTCTCCTAAACATCCTTGGCATCATTCACGGGGCATGCATGGGAAGCATGCATCAGGGATGGCTTCCCTCTGCGGTCATAACACTTCAATGAATGTGGCTAATTGTAGCGGACATTTGAACTTTTACTGTCGTAAAGTAGAATCTTTGATCGAGGAACATCTCAACCTTTCACTGTCAAACCGTAGGGCACTTGGTGGAAGGATACTTGAACTTAAGCAGCCATACAGTAGGAATCAGACTGACAGAAATTTTTTCTGAAGGATTTTTTTTCTTCTGGAAATCTCTCTGTTCTCATAACCTAATTTTGTTGTTCTGTTTTACAAATTTTTTTTTTTTTGGGGGGGTGCCCTCTCGGGGCAAAAGGGTTGAGTCACCATTTTATTCTTTTAATATTTTTCTTTCTGCTTTGTAAATTTGTCCTGTTTTTTAACCTGTGAGTATGGTACACTTAAAGACACCATGTTTTGCTCATGGATTCTTTTCTCAAAGTAGGAAATTTACCTTGTTCCCATGCTTCTTCTGCTTCTGTAAGTTGATCTGTTTTTGAACCTGTGAAAGTTGCACTTGAAAACAGCATGAGATGTTGAAGTTATCTTTATGTATGAAACTTACCTTATTGTTCATATTCACTTTTTTATTGTTGTAGGTAGATTATTTGTTTTTGTTTGTGCAAGTGTTTTTTTTTTTTAAATCCCATGAAAGTAACACTTGAAAACAACTTTTTCATATTTTGTTTCCTTTGTTATTTTGTTTTGTTTTCCAAGTTGATCTGCATTTGAACCTGTGAAAGTTACACTTTAAAACACCATATTTTGCCTATGTATGTGGGGAATTCAAGACATGTTGCAGTATCTAAAACTGACTTGCTGTATTTTAATGTTCTTATTTTCGTCAGTTCTGATTTTGAACCTGTAAAAATTACACTTGAAAACACCTTGATTTGCTCATGTAGGGAAGCCAAAACGTGCTGTGATATCTAATGATGACCTGCTGTACGACCCTGACATGGATGACGAGGATCAGAAGTGGGTGGATAAACAGAGGCTGAGCCATCGTGCTCCTTCAGCTGGAGGAGCTAGGAATAAGAAGTCCAAAAAGCCGAACAGTGATGCACTGCTAGATTGCCCTGCATGTATGACTACACTGTGTATAGATTGCCAGAGGTAAGTCAGTTGAAGATTTGCTTTCTCTAGACTACTGAGACTTGGGGAGGAGGTTTCACTGTCTCTAGATTACCTAGACTTGTGGAGGAGGTTTCACTTTCATTTTTGGGGAGGAAATTTTGCTTTCTTTAGACTACCTAGATTTGGGGAGGAAGTTTCACTGTCTCTGGACTACCTAGACTTGGGGAGAAGGTTTCACTGTCTCTAGACTACTGAGACTTGTGGGGGAGGTTTCACTGCCTCTAGACTACTGTGACTTGGACAGAAGGTTTCACTGTCTCTAGACTACCTAGATTTGGGGAGGAGGTTTCACTTTCTCTAGACTTGGGGGAGGAAATTTCACTTTCTCTCGAATGCTAAGATTTGGGGAGGTTTCACTTTCTCTAGACTGCCTAGATTTGTGTAGAGGTTTCACTGTCTCTAGACTACCAAGACTTGGGTAGGAGGTTTCACTTTCTGTAGACTACTGAGACTTGTGGGGGAGGTTTCACTGTCTCTAGACTACTGAGACTTGTGGGGGAGGTTTCACTGCCTCTAGACTACTGAGACTTGTGGGGGAGGTTTCACTGCCTCTAGACTACTGAGACTTGTGGGGGAGGTTTCACTGTCTCTAGACTGCCTAGATTTGTGTAGAGGTTTCACTGTCTCTAGACTACCAAGACTTGGGTAGGAGGTTTCACTTTCTGTAGACTACCGAGACTTGTGGGGGAGGTTTCACTGTCTCTAGACTACTGAGACTTGTGGGGGAGGTTTCACTGTCTCTAGACTACCGAGACTTGTGGGGGAGGTTTCACTGTCTCTAGACTACTGAGACTTGTGGGGGAGGTTTCACTGTCTCTAGACTACTGAGACTTGTGGGGGAGGTTTCACTGTCTCTAGACTACTGAGACTTGTGGGGAAAGTTTCACTTTATCTAGACTGCTTAGACTTGGGGAGGTTTCATATTCTTTAGAGTACCAAGCTTGGGGAGGATGTTTTGCTTTCTCTAGACTTGAGAAGGAGGTTTCACTTTCTTTAGAGTACCAAGCATGGGGAGTAGGTTTCACTTTCTTTTGACTACTAAGACTTGACGAGGAGGTTTCACTTTCTCTAGACTACTGAGATTTGGTGGAGCTGTAGTACTGCAGTGGCTTGTAGAATACTTGTCTTCTGGCCTCGTAATCATAGGTTCGAATACATGTTAAGAAAAAAAATGTTAAATGTGACCTTAGCTCTCAAGTTTACCCAGCCTAAAATGGAATCAGGAAATGCCAGTGGAAGTAAAGGTGGCTGGCATGATGTTAACCACATCTGCGACTGCCTTTTGGTTTATAAAAGTACAGAGCTGGGGCTATAGTCCCTAAGCACAGTGTGACTTAGAAAGGTTTTCTGTTTACTTACTTGGACTCTTGGTATCTTTTCTCATGTTTTTTCTCGACTAGGATTGCAATCTATATGATTAACAGCTCAATGGTGAGAATCGGACAGGTACAAATCCAGGAAACCTTCCTCAACCATATAACCATATAGCAGTTATATTACGGGGATTGCGTGGTCTCGGGGCATGGTGTCCGCCTCGAGTGCTAGAGGTTCCCGGTTCATTCCCCCGTAAGGGCTGGGATTTTTTCACTTGGACTTGAGTTAGAAGAATAACGGAACACTTATGGGTTACTACCCCTGTGCCATGATGTTGATTCGTTGTTCATTATTAAAGTGGGAAGCAAAGGCAGTTGGCAAGGTGTTGACCCCACCGCCCATTGAGAGCCATTTGGTCAATAAGATATAAGACCAGCACCATAAGACAAATACTCTAAAAGTGTAGGGAAAAAGTCCTTTACTTTTTACTTACTGGTGATGGACCCTGTTCAGGGCAGTATTAATGCGGAAAGTTTGCAGTACAGTAAGATACTGTATTTTTCCACGAATGATGCCTAAATATATAGGATGATCCCAATGTTTTTTAATCTAAAAAAATTAAAAATATTTTAAACACATTCCGTGTAAAAGACTTCCAGAACTGTTTTCAACTTAAAAAAATTTTGTAATTTATGAAAACATATCTTATACATGGAAAATTACGATAACTATTTATTTTTTATCCTTCGCAGACATGAAGTTTACAAGCATCAATACAGGGCCATGTTTGTTATGAACTGTACTGTTGATAAGTCAGAAGTTCTTCAGTACCCAGAGGAAGCTACAAAGAAGAAGAAGAAAAACAAGAAGAAAGTCCCACAGGAAGCTAAAGCACCCAGCAGTGATAACCCACCACCGTCAGACATGTTTAACCCAGTCAGATGTTCGGAGTGTAACACAGTAGTGGGTGTAATTGACCAGGAAGGTGTCTACCATTTCTTCAACATACTGGCAAGTTATACGTAATCAGAGCAAACATTGCTGTTCTTGTTAGGTCATTAAACGATTATTAGATGATTATGATCATTAACAGTCATTAGAATTTGTTGGTGGTGATTTATTTCTTGTTGTTTTTACATGTGTTCATATATTTGTTTGTGCCTGAGAGAGAGAGCGAAAGAAATGAGAAAGATAAGGATAGATAAAGAACATGATAAAGAGAGGAATGAAATAGAGGGAGAGAGACATGAAACAGAGAGAAATGAAATAGAGCGAGAGAGAGGGAGAGAAATTAAATGTAGAGAGATGTTATGGATATAAATGGAATAGTGAGAGTGAGGGAGAAATGAAATGGACAGAGAGGGAGAGAGAAATTGAATAGTGAAGGAGTGAACTTGTATGGAGAGAAATGTGATAGAGCAAGGGGGAGAGAAATGAGGTAGAGACAGGGGGAGATAAATGAGGAAGAGAACTGAAAGAGACAGTGGGGGAGAAGGGTGAAGAAATAAAATAGAAGCACATGAAATCGTCATGATTAAAAAAGAGTAAAATAAAAGAAGAGCATATGATCAGAAACCTTGTGGACTATCTCTTTATTGACAAAAGATTCTAAACTGTGGTATCGCAAAAAGAATACATTTTAAACTGAAATTTCTTCGATTTGTGGACAATACCTTGTAAATTTATAATTCAGGTCTGCGCTCACTCACTGCTTGCAGAACTCAAAAGCATGGGGTGCTTGTCCACCTGGACGAGTTTCCGAATCCTCAGTCTTGAATTTTCTATACTTCTTTCTATACGTGTGAGTTCCAGGACCTTTTTGTGGGAATACAAGAACAAACTGCCTCCCCAAAAAACATGTCATAGTCGACTAATTGGAAGTTTCATTCAAAGCTGGGGTGCATCTGTCTGAGAGGCAAGGAACTAACAATCTGCATACAAATAAGTCAGATCTGTAAAACCGATGTGCATGCAAAACTCAGGTTCTGGTAACAATTTTAAAGTCCAGAGGTGGATGAACAACCAACACTCTCTGCCAGTTTACAGCAGGTGAATGTGAAAAAGAAGAAGAAGAAATGTCCTGTACATATGACTGCAAAGTCTGTTGTGTCCAATTCACAGTCTAAATATAATGATCTGTGTCTTTTGTGTGAGAATGCTGAATATGTCTTGGGATTGTGTTCTTCTGGATAGGAAATGTTCCAGTTGTAGCCTTGACCTGGTTTTCTTCTTCTTTCTCATTCTTCCGAGTGGCAAAATTGCATTCTGCCTGTTCAGCTATGATACTCGTATTTGCCCTTTTCAGCTGACATCATCAGGCATTCGTTTACTTGCTTAGCCTTCCTGGCGAGTTTAATGGAGCATTGTTAGACAGCCTCATTTGTGTAGGGACTTCATTGTCCCCCTGATCTGTAGGTGTTGTTCCCTAGAAGACCTGTCTAAGACAGTTCTCAAAGGAAGGCAGCGGCAAAACATGGCATTCCCTGCCATCCAAGGAGGCTTCCATAAATACAGAGCTACTATATGACGCTCTGAAACTGAGCTCATCCAAGGATTTGGCACATCCTGCACATGACTGCTTAACCTTACATCCATATATTGAGCTTCCATTTCATCTCCCTTGAGGGATCAACGGGAAGCAGTCCCCAGACCTGAGACTTTGATGTCTTATTTGAATTGGGTATCTTGCTTCCTCAGGACGTTAGACTTCTTGCAGCCAACATGGAAATGTCCAGTGTGTAAAGACGATTTTTCGATTATGATAACATTACATCATAACCAATGGCATTTTTTAGATAGTCATTTCTGGTACTTAGCGGGACAGTATAGGAAAAGCATACATTAGGCATGGCTTCCCCTTATGGACGGACGCCGTTTTATGGTCACCACACTCGAGTGTTATTGCAGAAACCATGTCTTCTATTTTGTGAGCTCAAAGGCAAGATTATGTAATAATTTTACACCAGCCTCGGGGGTCAGTAAAAATTGCTTGGTAGGCCAGTTCAGCCTATGGGCTATAGTTTGCCCATCCCTGCTCTTTTGTCATTAAATAGTATTTGTAATCGACATAATTGCTCAAGCACTGGGGTGGGCTAATGAGGGCCAGAAGTTTTAGTTAGATATTGGCCATTACCTATGGTGCACCACGAGGACGTTTAAACCAGCAGAGCCTGTTGAAACCCAAGGTGAGGTACAGGGTATTTTCTTATACACAGCACAGCGGCCTTCATTGTCTGTCATGCCCATGATGATTTACAGAAGAAATTGAAACTAATACTAAACTTAAAATGTTTAATTCTAATGTCAGATTAGTACTGTTATATGGACAAGAAACACGGAGAACAACTAAAACAGCTACTAATAAATTACAAACATTCAATTAACTGGTGCTTGCACAGAATAGAGGGCATTTAAATTATCTGATAGTGCTCTGGGAGAGCACTAAACAAGCTGTACCGGACCAAGAGGTGAAGAAAAGACGCTGGAGTTGGATAGTACATACTTTGAGAAAACCATAGTACAATATAATTATAATGTTTTTGCACTTGAACTCACAGGGGTATAGAAGGCAGACCAAAACACACACACACACACATGGAAGAGGAAGCTAGAGAGTGAAGTTAAAAGATGGGGAAAGCTGCACGCAATAGTGAAAGATAGAATGACTTGGCATGAGCTGGCATAGGGCCTATGCTCCATTTGAGGATAAAAGAAGAAGCATCTGGCTTTTATTTTCCTCAAAAATTCACCAAAAATCTGGCTGTCCTGTATTACCCCAGTATTTGCTGCAGAGATGCTCTCTTTATTCTGTATGCAGTAAAAAGATCATAGGTCTGACTAGTTGGGATTCTGGTCGAAACCTTCATAGAGGCATGTATCCTTCTCATCCGAAAGTCACTGTCAGGGAAAATAAGAAGTAGAAGAAATGCATGGTCAGATCGAGTGTTGCTAGCAACTGGAGTGCGACCAAGCCATCTCCAGTTATGTCCCTCAGATGGGCTCTGCGGCCTCCACAATGGCAGAAAAATATCTCTTGGAAGCCACGCGGTGGTGGCAATGGCAGCAAAATGTCTCTTCAGCACCCAATCCTGTCAATGGTTGATTATGACCTGGGACTGCTTACCGTCTCAGGAGTCAGATGGGCAAACTAGAGCGCATACAGAACGTAGCTTTGCGGGTCATTTTGTGTTGCACCAGACACTCCCCAGTGGCGTGTATGCGATACATTCTTGGTTTGCCGACTGTTGAACGTAAGCACAAGGTGCTGCAGCACAGTCAAATTTCAAGGTAGGTGCAGACACAGATCACCCTTTGCACGAAGTTCTGGGCCCAGTTAAAGGTCAGAGGCTGACAAGAGAAAAGTCATGGATGGCTCAGCCAGAAGACACAATCAGACAGGTTTGCATCCTTGAGAACATTAGGAGAGGAAAGGAGTGGGTCAAAGTGCCACCTGAACAGTCAGACTTGTGTAGGGTCATAATCACACTGAGCCGGGAATGCAGAGACTGGCCAGCAGGTAACACGGAGGTGGAGATTCTGCAATTAATTCAAGATAATGCTCGCTCAGAGGATTTGATTATTCACACAGATGGTTCTTTGTCAAGAGGCAAAAGAAGTGCCTGGGGTTTCTAAGCAAAAGTAAATGGACGACGTTTGGTGCAGGAGAGCCTAGCGTATAATACCACAACATCCAGCTTAAGAGTGAAGGCTTTCACTGCAGCTTTCCAACTGGTTAGAGAACACAACACACACACACACACACACATCGTGATTGTAACTGACTCATGAGCATGCTGAGGAAGGTCAGGACAGGCATGAGTGCAGAGTGGCATGCTTCACTGCGGAGGACACAGGGTATTGTGTGGATTTTTTCACCGGGGAACGCCGGTGTGTTGGGAAATGAACCGCAGACAGACTGGCTGGCTCTGCACATTTTGGGGGAATACTGATGTATGATAACTCAGAGGTGGTTAGTGCCTTGTGGGAGAGCGTGTACATTTTAGAGGAGAAAATGTATCACCACAGTCTGGTTAGACTGATGCTGCGGGGAGTGACAAGAGGTTATGGCAGATGCTCGAGGCTCAGAGAAAAGCAAGGCGGGCGTTTTAACAGAATGCTACTGGCACCATTAGTATCGAAACTCTTTACTGGCTGCTGAGGATGGGGAGAGAGCACCAATGGGAATGTCACTAGTGCTGTGATGTCGGTTCTTGAATCAACAACTCAAAGTCTCTTGGAAGCAACGCGGTCATGGCAATGGTAGAAAATGTCCTTCAAAAGCCACGCAGCGGTGACAATGGTGGTGGAATGTCTCTTGATAGCCTTGCGGCTGAGACAACAGTGGAATACTTCTGATGTAAGCCCAGTGGCTGAGGTAACAAGAGGCTGGAAGAACATATCTCGGAAGAATTACTGGACGTCGAAGAGGAACTCCTTGTCAAGAATCCTGATGTCCACCGACCATGATGTATTTAATGTTTTCTGCAGTTTTGCTTGTTGTGTGTCAGTGATAATTTGTATTTTTTTACAAGGCATTTTCTACCGAACCGATTAGATGGGGGCTTGTAATGATTCTACGAATATGATGTTGTCTGTGACATTAACGTCTATTTTTATATGTTATTGTTACCATCATTGTAGGTGGGGGGAGGGGGGAAGGGGAGGGTGGTAATGGTTTGACTAATCTGCTGCTGTCTATAACAAAATGTACATGTTTGCAACGTTCCGATGATTATTGCCATTTTTCGTATAATTTCATACCTAGAACTGATATGTTCACTATCTTGGGACGAGCCATGCTTTGCTTATATGTCAATGACAGTTAAGTTATTTTTGTTTTGGGTGTTTATGTTAATAAATGATACTGCAAGTAATTAGTGATTACGTCATGTCAGAAGATTTTTTTTCCAGCTGGCTAAGGCCAGTATTTGAAGGATAGAACAGGAGCTGAAGAAGGATTGGTAGACAATGATTGTGGGGTTATCGGGACACCAACAAATTTAGTATGGGGTGTGTAGCTGAGTGTC